TGGTGACTTCAATATTCATGTTGATAATGATAATCAAGAGTCAAAGTCTCTACTATTCTACTTGAGTCTTTTTGTTATATTCAGCAAGTTGCTTTTAGTACTCATACATGTATATGCGGCCACACTCTTAATTTGATTATATCTACTAAATATTTGTGGGGCGACGTTGGCCTGGTTCTTTAATATCGGATCATTTCCCTGTTATCAGCAGTCGAGCTAATTCAGTCAAAGCACCTGTACATCTCTCCATAAAAATTGTTTGTATAAATATGGATTCACTGCAGAGTTGTGTAGCTAACAGTTCACTATGTTCAAACACACCTGATGATCTTACGGCTACTTTATACACTAAAACTCTAATTTCAATTTTCAACAAACATGCACCTGGCTTTTTTAACGAAGACAGTAGCTTCTCATCAACAGGTACCATAGTTTACAAATGCTGTTAGAATAGAAGTTTTAAAAGGAAAGCTGAAAATAGATGGTTAAAAACAAGATCCCCCTCTTCGCATCTCAATTACGAAAGTTTTAAAGCTGCTCATAATAAGACATTATTTGTTTAAACATAGTTGTGGCTTACACCCAGTGAATAAGATCGATTTATCGATCCGTGATTGAAAACACGTCATGAAAAATCTTGGAACCAGCAGGATTTGAACATGCCATCTATTGCTTGCCGGGCAATGACTCTACGACCAGGCCATCCATCATCTTAATGCAGTTGATAATGCTCGCCACAGATGACAAACTTAATTCTAGATAGTTTGATTCTGAATGATAGTATGCAAAATTGAACATCAGGCCTCCCAGAACGTCAACAATATCCCATTTTTGATCCATCAGTCGGCTGCTACCTGCTTTGTGTTTCTCAGGATATATGCGTCCAACAGTTTGGGAACAAACTTTAACACTAAGGATCCACAAGCATGCTGTAATGGATTCTTTATCATGCCCATGACTGTACCTGGTGGGTATTCCTCTATCATCTTTTTATGTACAAGAGCCAAAAGCATGTCATATCCTTCTTGTAAAGCTTTGCCATCAAACAAGGCAGCCTCATCTGGAACAGGCAGTTCAGATCATCAAAAAAAAAAAACGTAATTTCCATATATGACTGACAACTTTACTAACACGAGAATTAATACATGTACAGTGTATAAAATAAATTTGTGTCAGCTGCCATACAAGTCTACAAGTATAATCTTTCATCTTGGGCATGTTTGCGCTTTTGTATATGTATGGCTTTTTGATTACAAAGACTTTCATTCCTATCTTGCTGACCGAAAAACATTACCTACTTTACATAGACAATTTCTCTTGAGATAAATTTTCTTATCCAGAACTCATAAAGTACGTTTAAATTTAAAAGGAAAAGTCATGTTCTCAGTCTGCATCAGAATCAGTTGAGGAATCCAATTCAGAAAGATCTGGGGACAGCTTTTCACCCTCTATTTTCTCACACAGGATATCAGGAAGACTCTCTCTGTAGGGTATCTTGTTGTGGAGTATTGCTCTTGCAGCTAGTTCCTCTAGAGGAGTTGGGGTTGTAGGTTTCAATAACTCTGACAACTCTTTGTCATCCTCGTCGTCATCCTCGTCAATATCCTCAAGGGAAGCATCATCAGTTGGACAACCATACCGTATTAAAACTCGTGAAACTGAAAGAATGAAGTCCATATCTCGGGCAACAGGTACAACTTCAAGAAGAGTTTTGAACAGAGATTTTTCCAAGTCTGGGTTGAGACCATTGTAGTGGAGGAGTCTACAAATGGTGAATTTCAATCTATTTCTTGCTCTCTTGCTTTGCCAGCTGTACACATCTTCCCACATGGCTTCAGCCATATGATCACAGAAGATTGAAGTGATTGATTTCTGTTGATCTGTACCCTGGCTTGTTTGTTCTGCAACCATCTTGTTTATGCAATTAACAATGCTGCCAACGAATGGAAGGCTGTTTACTAGGTATTTAGATTCAGACAGGTAATATGCGAGGTTGAATATAAGGTGTCCCAAATGTTCAAGGATCTTGCCTATCTTTCCTGTGGACTGGGTGTTACTGTTTCGGAAAGCAGCAGCGTATATCTCTAACAGCTTAGGAATAAACCTCAGTGATTCTGGAGACTCTATATAAAGCGATGCTGTAGCATCATCTATCATCTCCATGACCGTACCAAGCAGGTTTTCCTCCATCATTTCCTCCTTTATCAGTGCCACAAGCATGTTATATCCATTTTCAGTATCTTTACCAGCGAACAATGCATCTTCAGCACAACCTGCCAAAGAATTCCAGAAATTGTATTCAACTTTAATATTGGCAGTTAGACACTGGAGACCAACGATGAAAGCTTTCGCCTTGACCTCAAACTCTTCACTTTTACTTGCATTCTTCTTGTTCATCATTTCAATAAACCATGTATCAAGGTCAGAGTTGACATGGCAAGGTGTAACTTCAATATCCTCTGAAGAATGCAAAGATGCAGCAAGGTGAAATGATTCACAGGCATCAATGGCATGGTGCTTATCAAAGACTGCCTGTGAAACTCCAAGGAGTTCATACGCCTTCACCTTGTCTGCAGTCTGCATTGCGACAACACTGCTTGATGCAAAGAATGTCACCACATCTTTGAAACTGTTCAAAGCTGCCACACAGGCTGGACTCAATCCATCTTTATTCACTTGCAGCACAGCCCCATGATGGAAAAGGACTTCAACAATCTTAATGATGTCAACAACCTTTTCTTTCTGATAATTTGGTTTCTCTCTACATTCCAGTGTTACACTTTTCTCCCCTTGGCAGGCATAATGAAGTGCAGAATTACCATGGACTGTGCATGTCAGGTTTGGGTCAGCTCCAGCTTCCAACAAGGAGTTGACAATATCCTTTCGTCCATTTCTGCAGAATATCATCAAAGGTGTTTGTCCCGCACTGTTAGTTCTGTCCACGCCAGCAGGATCACCTGAACAAGCCAGGTATTGTTTCACATCATCCACATCTCTTATATCTCCTTTATCAATGAGAGACGCCAAATCAACACCATCTTTGAACCACTGATCGTTCTTGTCCTTGAGACAAGGAGAATCCCCTAATTCCTGACAACCGCTCTCTGATTGTGACGCCATTGTGTGACCGTATGATCTCAGACCAAGGCCTCGAGAATCTGAGGAAATATAAATGAATACTGAATTGAAGTCTCAGGTTTATACTTACTACGAAGGGCTACAAACTCTATAATACAGAAAGAACTCTTTTTCGCTACATGCAGCTAGTTTGGCCAGGGGGGATTAGACCTCAGCTGTCTATGATATATATTTTTTAGTAGTGCCCCAACAGAGAAAAACAGAAATTAACAATATTTTTGTACACAATTAACAAATAGAAGAGTTGTTCATGAATACTATGTCACAATTCACTGATAAAATAGCCAGTTATAGATTCACATAGCTTTTGTGATCTCATATTCAAAACAATCTTAACTCTCTTATCATTAGTCAAGCTATGACTGAGACTTCCTTGACAGATAAATTACTCTGCTATTATTCACAGAATCGTCCCTGCTAGTGATCAATTTGTTCGTCACCCTCACACTTCTCGTCGTGGTGGCGGAACTGCTCCTCTTCAAGGACACAATGGAAGTCCATCACGTTCAATGTAGACTTTCTGGGTTTTCGAACACCTGGAAAGTCTAGACAATGACATGTAAATGGACATTTATAAGTGAGTCAGCTCATGAGCCAGGTCGAGCTCCCTCACCTTGATCCCGGGCCTGGACACCGCCCTGGATCAGGAAAATCATAACTGATTTTATTATTTACTATATAAATCTATGTATCTAGTTATCTACAGTACCTATTATTTGCTAGTTTACCTAAACTATGCAGCTATCGAGAACTGAAACGTCACATTCGCGCATGCCCACCCCAATACAGCGTCTTCCCAGGGTTCACGTGCACAACCGTACGCCCGCCATCTTCCTCTTTAAGGAGCCTCCAGAGACAACACTTCGGACATGATGCCGGGCAAGGAGAGGGGACGGAGGGAGGGACATACATGTAGATACAGGTAGATACATAAATCAGTTATGATTTTCCTGATTTACCACAATAAGTCAATGTATCTACCTATTATTTGCTAGACCAGCGCGGATAAGACCAGGAGGGAGGCACGTCCCAAGTAGAAGGGGATTACTGGGGAACAATGGCAGATGAAGGGGATTACTGGGGAACAATGGCAGACGAAGGGGATTACTGGGGAACAATGGCAGACGAAGCTGCCCTTAGGGACGCGGTTGCAACAAAACCTCACCAGAGGGGACATCCCTAAGATAAAAAGAAGTAAACGAATTGGGAGAACGCCAAAAGGCGGCCTTCAAAATATTGACTAAGCCCACTCCCTGAAAAGCGCACAGGAAGTGCTGATACTCCTAGTATCGTGGGCCCTTCTTTCCGCAATTCGCGGGAGAGAGGGAATATTATTGCCTCCCTCTGCACCCACCCTCTCTAACCCCTTTCCCCCACTTTGCATGCTATATTTCTTGCAATTGATCATCAATCATCACATAGAAGCAAGTAAGAAATTATATGAAACGTCTTCTTTCTGTCAAAATTTCCTGAAATGATCCCCCTCAATATCTGGTTTGCACGCTTTGCATGCTCACTACCACCCTCCCCCCCCCCCCCCCCCCCCCCCTCTAAAATTAAAATCCTGGCTACACAATTATTTTAACATATATAAATTTACAGTTACACTGCATGTCAGTTATAATTTATAAATAAAAATATTCTGTTGATTATTATCATCCTGTTTGATGATAAAAGTATACAAACATTATTTAATAAACTGTCAAATATACGGTGTCGTTAAATTTTCATTATAAACGTAAACTTACTGTATACTAGTGTATACCCTTTATACATGACTCAGCTATTAATAACAAGATGATGTGTATGTGATAAATATTACTTGGTCGGGAGTGTATGAATGAATTTGTGTCCATCAAATATTTTTTTTTTTTTTTTTTTTTTTTTTTTTGCTGAAGCAAGGAAAATACATTTCACCCATAACAAAAAAAACAAAAATTCTTTCTTCCTTTTCACATCTGTCTATCTCTCTCTATACATGTATGTCTCTCTATAATGTCCGCTCTCTATGTAGTGCTCTCTAATTCTCACTCTTCCAATTTCTGTACTAGTTATTATTCATGTTCATACGTCTACTTCATCCTCCTGTATATCTTCGTCCTCTTTCTATCTCTCTTCCTCCCATTTCTCCATTTTCCCCGTCCTCTGTCTTGATCATCCTCTCTTTGCTACATAGTGTTAAACTTAATGCTCACTACCCCCCCCCCCCCCAAGTCTAATTTTGTTTTAAGAGTAGAAATGTGTAATCGAGATATCTTATTGCTCTCAAGATTTGATGAAACATCAAAATTAGTTTCCTCAAGAAATTTACAATTTTATTGCAACAATAACATGCAGGTGGGATAAATTTAGATAAATACAAGTCAGATAAAGTACGATAAAAGATAAAATTTTAAAGCTTAGTTTCAATATTGGTTAAACAAGGTGATGTTCCCCGACTCAATGAAATTGGCAAATTAATCTTACATCAGAAAGTACAAAGTGAAGAAACCTTGAATGCATATATATAGTGATGATAAATGTGTAATGTTAACATGGACAAAGCGAATATCAACAAGAAATATAATTCGTCATTGGAACGAATTAGGTGGTCTGTTATTTAATCTGAACAACTGGATAACTATAATCATCTCTGAGGAGAGTAGAATCATATAAATATATGGAACGAATTGATGTTGCAGTATACATTGATGATCATGATGATGGTGATAGGGATTATGACGATTGTAACAGTATCCTGTTTACGCGATTTAGTCAACTGACAGACTATAATGTATATTCAGTTTATAGAGGGTGCACTCATGCCTTTTATTAAATACCTTCCTCACATGTTTAACACCTGCGGAAGTCATGTAGATTCATGATGTGAACGAAATTCACCTTCCATAGGCATAACACGCAAATTAAGAAAATTCTGACATGTCGACTTTAATCGCAATTTTCACTACGATGATGTCATAAAAATGAAAAATGGTGGTCACTGATCTTGTAGAAAATTGTCTTAGCTACAACATATCAACAATCGGAAGAAAATCTATCAATATTTACATAGATACGATTTATTTTTCATAAATATGCTGACGTCATAATATACACATTCATATTTTAAGTTCCAAGGCCATTATGACGATATGTCATGATATACTTAATAGCCAAAATATGAAGGAAAAAAACGGGTGGTTTCCAAGCATTCTTAAGAGCTATAATGGATTTTTTATATGCATGTTTTTGCCCATATAGAGCTCACGCCCACAGACATTTATAGTTAACGGACTCACATTCTGTTATTAATGGTCATAAAGAGATAAACATGGTATCAAATTGTTCAGAAAAGAATAAGAAATATTATGAAAGAAAAAAAATGGTGATTCTATGTTGAGTACGGCCATGACGAACGAAAACACGTGGGCATACGCATGTGCACTTTTTTTCTTTTTTTTACAAAAATGCTCATATAGCCTGAAATGCATGCAAAATGAATTTGAGACGATTTGGAGCAATTTCAAATTTTGCACGTTTATTGATAATGATAAATATAAATGAGAAATGACTTTCCGTTATGAAGATATTATCATTGCCTTTCCAATCAAATTGTTGCAGTCAAACTCATCCTAATCTCAATACACTTCAGTGCCCGCCGTGGATTTCCACGGGTTCCACTAGTTCCTTTATCATCTCTTTCTGTACGAGAGGCCAAAAGCATGTCATATCCTTCTTGTAAAGCTTTGCCATCAAACAGGGCAGCCTCATCTACAACAGGCAGTTCAGATCATCAAGAAAAACAAACTATAATTTCCATACGACTGACAACTTTACTAACACGAGAATTAATACATGTACGGTGTATAAAATAAATTTGAGTAAGTTGCCATACTCAAAAGTCTACAAATACAATCTTTCATCTTTGGCATGTTTGTGCATTTGTAGATTTATGACTTTTCGATTATTAAGATTTTCATTCTCCGAGACCATAGAAATACTGGGATGATGTCCAGCGGGGGCTATAGCCTATCCTGATCCGGGTAGAGGGTACTCGTCAGCTGTAGTGAAAGCAAACCTTCTAGTGGAGTCCAGCCATGATGAAAATTGGTCCTGCGGAAGGCAACGGGAACCCACCGCAGTATTATCATCAGGATGACCCAATATATATGATATGATAGTTGTCAATTCAAATCAAGCTAAAGACGTTGTCAGGACCCTAGACACTAGATGCTAGGGTGTCGCGTCCAGCAGGACGAGCAGTGAGGATGGTCAGGTCGTCATCTAGCAAAGTCCTCACATGCGTGTTGGCACATGGAATACTAGAACAATGAGAGACGACAAGATAGAAACTATCAAACATGAGATGCAACGTTATAACATGGACTTGTTTGCTCTGACTGAGGTTAGATGGCTTGACAGTGGTGACTTCATGAGTGATGAATTCAGAGTGATATACTCTGGAGGGAAAGTAAGACAATGTGGTGTTGCTCTTTTGCTGGACAAGCAAACAGCAAAGAATGTATGTAGGATTGAGGCTGTAAGCGATAGACTGCTAGCAGTCAGAATAAAGGGATCACCAGTTGACATCGTTGTGTTGGTTGTGTACATGCCTACTACAAGTGATTATGAGGACAAAGATGTGGAGGATATTTACGACATGATCGATGAGGAGCTGGAAAAAGGAAAAGGAAATGACTACCATATTCTTCTTGGTGACTGGAATGCTGTTGTCGGAAGCTCACACAACACGATGACGCTGTTGGTGAGTGGGGTCTCGGCAGGCAAAACCATAGAGGAAATATGCTAGTGCAGTTTTGCAAGAGGAGAAAACTGGTGGTTACCAACACTCTCTTTGAACAGCACCCTAGACGTCGCTATACATGGAAAGCACCTGGGGATACTGCACGCTACCAGATTGACTATATTCTTGTGAACCAGCGTTACAAGAATAGTGTGAAAAAGGCCCTAGCATATCCAGGCGCAGACTTTGACTTGGATCACGACTTGGTGATGATGACAGTGCAGCTGAAACTGAAGAAGATGCGAGGGAGCTCCAAAGTGACGAGAATAGATAATGCAAAGCTGAAACAGAATACATTAGTGTATGCATCTGGTGTCCAATCCCGGCTGTACGCTAGAGAATTACCAAAGGGTCCCTCAGTTGAAGATGAATGGGAAAATCTAAAAAGGTGCCTTGCTTGGTAGTGCTGAAGAAAACGTTGGGTTTGGTAAGAGAAAGAAGATCCGTAAACCATGGACAACGGAGGAAATGATAGATAAGATGGACCAGAGAAGGACACTGAAAAAGGACAACACTGCAGAAGGTAAAAGGGGTTACAAGAGGCTTAATAATGAACTAAGAAGAGCTACAAAGCCCGAACTGACTGGTGGGAACAACAATGCAAGGAATTAGAGGAGCTAAACCGCATTGGGAGAACAGACCTTGTGTACAATAAAGTGAAAACTCTTAGTGATGATTTGAACAAAGGGAAAGGAAAGAACAACACAAGAGGGGTGCTGGATGTGAATGGAGAACTGCTAACCAACCAACATGACATAGAGGATAGGTGGCGTCAGTATGTAGAGGAGTTGTATGCGAGGGACAACAAACCAGTCGCTCTGCCCTTGGAAATGGAAGAATGTGTCATGGCAGATGACGTTGGTCCCCCCTTACTTTCAGAAGAGGTGCATGCTGCAGTCTGTCAGTTAAAGGAGAAAAAGGCAGCTAGGGAAGACAACATTACTGCTGAAATGCTCAAGAACATGGGGGAAGCTCGCATAATGGCACTGACTGAATTATGTCAACATATACATGAAAAGGGAGTATGGCCAGAGGATTGGACAAGCCAGTTGATCACTATTAAGAAGACTACAAAGGCAATCAGATGCGAGGATCACCGCACAATCAGCCTGGTATCACATGCTTCAAAAGTATTGCTAAAGGTACTCCACCATCGGATTGAAGCGAGGTCCAAAGATTATATTGGAATCGACCAATTTGGCTTTCGTAAAGGGGTCGGTACCTGAGAAGCATTTGCTGTAATGAAAATATTAAGTGAGAGATGTATACAGCATGATCAAGACCTATATATCTGTTTTGAGGACTACGAAAAGGCATTTGATCGTGTCAATTGGACTAGGCTGATGGAAGTGCTGTCAGCCATTAGTGTTGATTGGAAAGACCGTAGACTGATTGCATCCCTGTACATGTCTCAGACTGCAAGCATTCACATTGGAGATGGAGTCTCTGAACCAGCCGTCATTGGACGGGGAACACGTCAGGGATGCCTGCTGTCTCCTCTTCTCTTCAATATCTATGCAGAGGCAATGGTAAGAGAAGCTCTGGCAACGTTACAAGAAGGAGTGAATGTCGGAGTGTTAATTAAGTCTGTACGGTACGTTGATGATCAGGCCACACTCGCTGTCACTGCCGATGGCCTTCGAAGACAGATGGTACAGATGGACCAAGTAGTTAGGAGCTATGGCATGAGAATAAATGAGAAGAAAATGAAGGTGATGATGACAAGTAAGGCCAAGACAAAAGAAATAACCATCATGATAAATGGCAACAGACTAGTGCAAGTCAACCACTTCAAATATTTAGGCAGTGTGCTGACTGAGGATGGCAAGTCTGCCAAAGACGTCAACTTGCGCTCAGCATTGGCAAGAGCTCCCTTCACTCAACAAGATATCCTGATGAGCCACAATATTGACCCGAGTTTAAGAAAGCGTCTTGTGAAGTCTCTAGTATGGAATGTACTGTTATATGGAGCAGAGACGTGGACACTCGCCAGGAAGGACATTCAGCGATTGGAAGCGGTCGAAATGTGGTGCTGGCGTAAACTACTAGATGTGTCTTGGAGGGACAGAGTTTCGAACGAAGAGGTGCTGCATCGAGTTCAAGAAAAGCGGGTGCTGCTTCAAACGATTAAAAAGAGACAGAAGAAATGACTTGGACACATCATGCAGCATGATGATAGCTTGATGATCAGAGTCCTAGAAGGCCGTCTACATGGAAAGAAGTTGAGGGGAAGACCTCGTAAAGGCTTTCTAGATGATTTGATTGCGGAATGTGGAGCAACGGAATATGAAATGCTGAAACGGATGGCTAAAGACTGAAGTACTTGGAGAGACACTTGAAGTAGAACTCTGATTGGGTCACTGAACCTGTCATAAACTGACAGATCACTATTGATGATGATTCTCATCTTGCTGACCAAAAACATTGCCTACTAATACATAGACAATTTCTCTTGAGATAAATTTTCTTATCCAGAACTCAAAAAATACCTTTAAATTTAAAAGGAAAAGTAATGTTCTCAGTCTGAATCAGAATCAGTTGAGGAATCCAATTCAGAAAGATCTGGAGACAGCTTTTCACCCTCTATTTTCTCACACAGGATATTGGGAAGACTCTCTCTGTAGGGTATCTTGTTGTGGAGTATTGCTCTTGCAGCTAGTTCCTTTAGAGGAGTTGGTGTTGTAGGTTTCAATAACTCTAACAACTCTATGTCATCCTCGTGAATATCCTCAAGAGAAGCATCATCAGTAGGACAACCATACCGTATTAAAACTCGAGAAACTGAAAGAATGAAGTCCATATCTCGGGCAACAGGTACAACTTCAAGAAGATTTGGTAACAGAGATTTGTCCAAGTCTGGGTTGAAACCATTGTAGTGGAGGAGTCTACAAATAGTGAATTTAAATCTATTTCTTCTTGTCTTACTTTGCCAGCAGTACATATCTTCCCACATGGCTTCAGACATATGATCAAAGAAGACTGCAGTGATTGATTTTTGTTGATCTGTACCCTGGCTTGTTTGTTCTGTAACCATCTTGTTTATGCAATTAACAATGCTGCCAACAAATGGAAGGCTGTTTACAAGGTATTTAGATTCAGACGGGTAATATGTGAGTCTGAATATAAGGTTTCCCATATGTTCAAGGATCTTGCCTATCTTTCCAGTGGACTGGGTGTTTCTGATTCTGAAAGCAGCAGCGTATATCTCTAACAGCTTAGGAATAAACCTCAGTGATTCTGGAATCTCATGAAAAAGTGTTGCTGTAGATTCATCCATCATCTTCATGACCGTACCAAGCAGGTTTTCCTCCATCATTTCCTCCTTTATCAGTGCCACAAACATGGTATATCCATTTTCAGTATCTTTACCACCGAACAATGCATCTTCAGCACAACCTGCCAAAGCATTCCATAAATTGTATTTAACTTTAATATTGGCAGGTAGACACTGGAGACCAACGATGAAAGCTTTCACCTTGACCTCAAACTCTTCACTTTCACTTGCGTTCTTCTTGTTCATCATTTCAATAAACCATGCATCAAGGTCAGAGTTGACATGGCAAGGTGTAACTTCACTGTCCTCTGAAGAATGCAAAGATGCAGCAAGGTGAAATGATTCACAGGCATCAATGGCATGGTGCTTATCAAAGAATGCCTGTGAAACTCCAAGGAGTTCATACGCCTTCACCTTGTCTGCAGGCTGCATTGCAATAACACTGCTTGATGCAAAGAATGTCACCACATCTTTGAAACTGTTCAAAGCTGCCACACAGGCTGGACTCAATCCATCTTTATTCACTTGCAGTGCAGCCCCATGATGGAAAAGGACTTCAACAATATTATTGATTTTTACAACCTGTTCTTTGAATTCTTTCGGATAGTTCGGGTTCTCTCTACATTGCAGTGTTACATCATTCTCATTTTCGCAGGCATAATGAAGTGCAGAACTACCATGGACTGTGCATGTCAGGTTTGGGTCAGCTCCAGCTTCCAACAAGAAGTTGACAATATCCTTCCATCCATGTAAGCAGGATATCATCAAAGGTGTTTGTCCCGCACCGTTAGTTCTGTCCACGCCAGCAGGATCACCTGAACAAGCCAAGTATTGTTTCACATCATCCACATATCTTATATCTCCTACATCCATGAGAGACGCCAAGTCAACATCATCTTTGATCCACTGGTTGATCTTCTCCTTCTGAATAGGAGACTCTCTTAATTCTTGTAATCCACTCTCTGATTCTGATGCCATTTGAGTGATTGTAAGGATCTTGGACCAATATCTCCAAGTATCTGAGGAAACAGAGATGGAAAATGAAACCTTCATATTTCTTATTGCGACACGGGTGGGACCAATCCTTTTCAGATGCTAAAAGTATTGACTTCAACATTTGAAAGAATCCCTTTTCCATAATCAATCACAATAAATTATAATGAGTATATCCATGCCAATTCCAGTTATAGCCTATAGGGCCATCTTATAGAAGTCAGACTTTGTGAAACTGCAGTACTCAACAAATGAAAGAAACAGTCTGGAAGCACTTGGATAAAGGCTCGATTCATTACGGGTTTTGGCAGATCCCAGGTTTGACTTTAATATTTCCGGCAGAGACCAGTTTCCTAACAAGAATTTTCCCCGCACCAGAAATTGAGACTTTGAGTACACCCAGGTACAGGAGTTCGGATAAAAATGCTGAACTATTGACGCAATGGAAAGACAGTTACTACTTTCAAATCAATTAAAAAATTGTTTATTCTTGGGTAATTGATCTTCAGAAGAAAATAAAATCATTTAAAATGACAGCTACATTTTTTTTTGCAAAAGAACAAGCTTTGTAATACTGTGTGTGCAGAAACCTAAGTCAGACGACGGCAAGACAAGCTCTACCAAATACAATACTAAAATATTGATCAGACTTAAAGCTTATCTGCCGTAGTTTTCAGGAGGGATCAGACTGCCCTGCAGGGTCACTGTACATGTGGTTATCTCATCAACTCAGCTCTCAAATAACATAAGAAAAAGAGGATCACGGGGGACCAATGGTCACCGATTAGGCATTGTTTTTTATATAGAGGGCGCAAGTAGCTACAAGTAGTGCAGTGTGCCTTTAAAATAACAATGTACATCTATACAGTAGGCTTGCGGTTGCACCATGTGAGAGAGAGGATTGGAGAGTCATGAAAAGGACTCTCGATAATCTTTCTTTCTTGAGTGTGTGTAGTCCTGACGATGGATAGTCAACCTGTTCGAAACGTCTAGCCACTCCTGCCACCCGTCCTCTCCAACTGGCGCTACAGTTCTCCTTAGAACTATAAGCTAATAACAATAACCAACAGTCTTTTTCAAGATTAACACCAACAGTCCTTTTCAGGACTACACACACTAAAGAAAGAAAGATTATCGAGAGAGTCCTTTTCAGTACTCCCCAATCCTCCATCTCTCTCACATGGTGCAACCGCAAGCCTACTGTATATCTACATCACCATGCAAGCCGATACTTGTAAGCAGCAATGTACATCTAGGCCTAATAGGTATTAGTTGTCAAAATATCCACAAAATAATGGCTCACCCAAGTTATTATGCTGAAGGAAAATAAATCAAAAGCACAAGGAAAATAAATTAAAGCACTTGGAAGCAAATCAAAGTGCCTTTCAATAGTTTAGAAGTCAAGTTGTTCATGCTCGATGTGTGGGAATATAAGCCCTACAACCGTCATACGTGCAATGTGTGGGCATATAAGCCCTACAACCGTCATACATGTACGTGCAGTCAATGCAGACGAAGGTCCAAAGTTCAATTCAATTCAGTTCACTTTATTTGCACATTTGATAAAAATCACAGTTACAAACATAGCAGATCAGACATATCAAAATGTGGGGGGGGGGGGCAAAACAAAGGCCAAAGGTCTATCAAAGAGATTCGATCAATCAGATTTAAACCATCTAAAAATCCGACATGAGATTTAAAGTAGCCACACGAAGAATCAAAAGTGTTTTGAATTGATGCAAAACTCATATCATTGCGAAGGGGAAGCCTTGCCGATAAAATACAACAACACTTCTCTTCACAATATGTTTGGGGCCCGCAGATATACACTTTAAAAAATGTTAGTTTTGAGATCTAGATTTTCTGCCTTCAGCGGTCCTTTGTAGAGCATCAATATTTATGACGTCACGGACACGGCTGGCTAGCTGCATACTGCTGCACGGCGCTGAGCTGTTTATCCAGTGTGTGACATCACTATTCAGAGCTCGCTACGCTTGTGTGTTTGACTTACGTTCAGGGGCGTTCGGGGGTCTAAGGAGGGTCTTGAAAAATTGCATTTTACGCCTTTCCATGATATCTATATGATTTCTCAGCAAATTGTTCGTGTTTTTCAAGAGAAAATCTTTACATCCATATGTAATTTGTTCTAATTATGAGTTGTTAGTGAATTTTCTTTGTGTAGCTCCTTTAAAGAGTTTAAAGAAACTACAAAATGAAAAAATAACTGAAACACAATACATTAAATTTCTATAATATCTTACAGAAATATTAATAGTTGGGTAGTTAAATGTACGGATGCATCGATATCAAGCTCAGCTAGCCATCTTTTTATACGAGACATTGTTCTGCAACAGACTGCAGATGGCAGCAGAGAAGAGATCTGGGCGGGCTTTAAATCAAATATTTCCTTCAGTGGCTATATCAACCCCTAGGAGCTCACAATGCATTAGAGATAGGTATAAGTTTGATGCTGCTTGACGACGGATAGTCAACCTGTTCGAAACATCGAGCCACTCATCCTCTCCAAGCACTATAGTTCTCCTGAGAACTATATGCTAAGAAAGATAACAAACAGTCCTTTTCAGGACTACACTCCTTCATGAAAGATTACCGAGTCAGAGTCCTTTTCAGGACTCCTCAAACCTCTCTCTCTCACACATGGTGCAACCGCAAACCTACTGTATAGGTATAAGTTTAATATCGAATAATCTTAATATTTCCATTTATAATCCGAGGTCACATTTGTGTCCAAAAACAAAGAAATCCACACTCACATTCTTTGTTGTCGATGTTGTTTTTCCCAGCAATTTAATAAAATTATAAATTCAGCAAAATCTTTGATTTTGACGAGTAAATAACTTATCAGTTTTCACTAACAGGTAAGAAACATAACAACTTTCAAATCATGACCATTAATGTGAACAATTGATGAAGATTTACATGTAGTTGACTTTTGGTATTTTTTAGTTAAGTAAAGGAGGGAGTTTTGAGCCACCTAAAGCAAAATCCTATTTTGGGACTCTTTACTTCCTATTTATAATCATTTCTTGTTCAAATCATGAAGCCCATACTATTATTATTTTAACAAGAAAAGAATCCCAGAAAAAAATCATGAATTGCCATGGCAAATTCACTTACATGTTCACCGCCGGTTTCGGAGGTAGTTTTCAGCCTAGCGAGGCAGTTTTCAGCTGTATGAATGTACGTAGTCAATAGGGAGTGCGCCCTGTGCGTTCGCCCATTGATCAATAGCACGGGCTTGCTGTGGTATGAAAAAATAAGACGCGTGCGGCCAGAGCACGTAATCCCCCGCATGGCCGAAAAACTACACCTGCGGGTCCGGTGATCAGAAATTGGAATCTAAACTAAACAAAGATACGGTGCTATAGTATCTGACTGCAGTGATATGATACATGCGGTGAGATACTTTTGAGCTTGCGATACTCAAAAAATCTGACTCTAAATCTGAAAAATACTTGAAATACAGCTCATGTTATCAGAGTAGTTAATGGTTATTACTTGAGAGTATTATTGGGGGGGGGGGGGGGGAATCAGGCCTTAAATTTCAACATTTTTAGGGCAAGGCCACTTTTATGTAGGGCACATTCCTATATTACAGCACAAATGGGGGAAATGGGAAAGGGCACAACAAATCTCCAAGGCCAATGAGAGGGGCATTGAGGCCAATCAAAGGGGCATCCAAGGCCAAGGCCATCCCCCCCCCCCCATCCCCCCCACTCGGGATCGACACCCATGCTTATATAAAATAGATTTTGATGGGTAGGGTCTGTACAAATGGGCGTGTCAACAGTGGTCAAAGATAAGATAGAGGCGGACTTTCAAGAGATAACACAGGGATAAAACAGAATACCGCCCCTGAACTAGGGAGGCGAGTTGGATCAGTCCGTAAAGCGTCTGCCTGCGAACCAAAGAGCCCGGGTTCGTCTCCCAGGCGGATGACTGAAGCCTGCGTTGTGTGTTAACTTGCCCTCCCCTTGTGCATGATATTTGTAACCTGCAACTCCATTCTAAGACAAAGATTTCCTTATATGCAGATGACACGGCAGTATTTCATCATGGAAAGGATTATAAAGTTTGTGAATACAATCTCCAAAAAGATTTTACCCGTATCTTGAAATGGCTAAAATACAATGGACTGTTTTTAAATGCAAATAAAACCAAAACAATACTATTTGGTTCCAAAAGAAAAATTCAAAATAATAATATTTGTATTCGTTACAGTGACAATGTACTCGACTCAGTCGAAAGTATGAAATATCTAGGTGTAACACTAGACAAAAGCTTAACATGGTCGTTACATGTAAAAGAAGTTGTTAAGAAAGTATCGGGTACGATTGCCTGCATTAGACGTATACGCAATTATATTTCCCGTAAGAATCTTATTACATTATACTATTCTCTTATCCTACCGCATTTAAACTACTGTAATTCAGTATGGGGAAATTCTTCGAAACAAAATCTAACAAAGTTGCAAAAATTACAAAATAGATATGCACGATTAGTTCTTCGTGCCGAATATTTTACACCCCAAAATGTTTTAATGAGTAAATTGAAATGGCGGTCATTAGAGGAAAGAATTAAATACAGTATCAGAAATGCATCTTGATTTTTAAAATCATAAACGACCTATCACCACCATATCTTAATCCATGTATAAGTAAAAGACCGATATTATATTCTACTCGTTATGCTTTAAACAGTCCATTATTCATTCCAAAGTGTAAAACAAATTTTAAAACGAAAACCTTAGCGGTTTCAGGAGCTAAAATATACAATAAATTACCCTATCATATTAAAAATTGTAAGTCGCTGCAAAGTTTTAAAAAGAATGTCAAAACCTTTCAGTTTCCCTTGTAAACATATTTTCACGTTAATTTGACCTTTATTTATTACATTTCATTCATCTAGTTTTTTTCAATTTGATAGTTGTATTTTTTTCCTTATAATTTATTGTTAATGCGTGTTTTTCGTTACCCATGTTTAATTATTGTATATACCATGTATATTTTACCTTTGTATGTATGTTTTGAATTCATGTTATTATTGTACATGTTTTTTATGTGAATACAGGGCTCTCTGGGAGAGCAGGCTCAGAAATGAACTTGAATGAGACCACCCTGTTAAAATAAAACTATAATAAATAAATAAAATAAATTGTGCATAGTTTCAAAAAATGAAATGGAAGCTCTTATTACCAATCATGTGAAAGAATATGTTTTGACTATTAATACATGATAACAATTTTGCCGGGAAACCGCCTACTAATTGATATATTTGGTAAATTAGTCTATCTATTGGTGTGGGAGAGATAAACGCATGTGTCGCGCAAGTGTGCAAAGTCCTATATAAATCTTTCTGTGCTTGTAACTTTACGAAGACTGGGCCAAATTTCTTATCATTTTGATGATTCCAGAACCTTGCAGTACACACCAATACTTATATGCTAGATGACCAACCTTTTCTGATCGATTCCACGTTTCTTTTACAATGCAATCGCATGACCATAACTGATCTTTATCTTTAAGTGGAAAACACTGCGTCCCTCAGATAGGACGTTAAATGGAGGCCCTGTGTAGAGAAGAGTCACTACCTTGCACGTTAAGACAGGGCTGTCAACTTTGGGGAACTGCTTCGAGGGAAATTGTATGCAATTATTTTTGGCTCAATGGGGAGTGGGTGTTGAAGAAAAAAATTCCTCACTACTCACTAACCCCCCGCCCCCCCCCCCCCCCCCCCCCCCTTTGAGCAAAATAATTGGCAATGATACGGTACGCTGGTTCATCCTACACATTTGGCTGGAGGTTTTTCCATAAACCGGGACATTGTGGGAGGAAGGGCGTGGTGGTGGGAGAATGAGCACGGTGGCGTGAGACTCCCTCCAAATGCGGGAGGGTTGACAGACCTGGTTAAGAACCCACTACACTATTCATATTAAGAATAAGAGTAGGGGAAAAACCCAGAGTAGGGGAAAAACCCAGTGTAGTGGTCGACCCGCACACACACCCCACCTAGTCAGTCTATCATTTATGGGCAAAAATGAAGTAAATATTCATTAAATGTCCAAATAAAGATCATATGAGTTGCAAGTTGTTAGACTATGTTTATTACCTGTTTCGTGTCAATTTTCTTGTTATTTTTTTCGGAAAAACATTGATATTAGTATAGTCTACACTTTTTCACAGGTTTCACGGCAAACCGCTGCACAATGTACAACAAGTGCATACCGATGCGATGGTGGGTTGCGGGCGGGTGCGCTCCTGTGTGCAGTTATCTACCATAAGCCTAATAATGAGGATCTGAGACAGACACTGATAACACCTAGATCTACCTACACATAGGTGCATTACTATCCTGGCTGCGCAGCTTTTGATTCTCAACATTTCAAACACCTGGCTTTGACTTTGTACAAAACTCAAACTGATTTCACTCAAAATCGGTAGGCCCCCCTACTTACAATAAATAGCAGTAAAATACTTTTTTTTTTAACTTACTGGTGTTAAAAAGAATAATTTTAAAATTCAAATAGTAAGTCTAGTGACAGTGTCAAATTTGTGTATAATACCTGCCTTATTTAGCATTGCCATTGACTCCCTAATCTCTATGCTTTGCTGGAGCGGATCTACCATCACCATGCATCTCACTTTCTCAGATTTAACGATGCCATAAGCCTAGGTAATATATAATAATCAATACTCACTCAAATTTAAATATTTGACAGCCGGGTATTTCGTACATCAAAGCATCTAGATCTACCATTGGCAGCTGAACCATGACATGTATTATCATGATATGTAAACATACATGTAGGTTGCAGTCAGCTGTTGTCGATCGTCTCTAGCTCTGGCTTGATCACTGCACCACACAGTAACGTAAATGGCGCGAATTTATGGAACGCCAAAAGTACCGTACGTAGTGCAGTGCGCTAGCCATCTGATCTGAGGGTGCGTTTATGCCTAATTTGAAGGCAGAATGAGCGATTTGAAAAGGCGCTCATCGTAAACGCAGTTCCACGGGTCGGTGTAGATACTGTTTATGCTCCCTTCTCCAGGCCAATTAGCCCCGCAATTAGCTAGGTCAATTATTAATGGGGTCTTGTCTTCTACTCACTTCTCTCTCTAGTCTCTCACCGGCTCTAGTCTCTCCATTTCCACCACCCCCCCCCTCCCCCTCTATCTTTCTCTGTCTTCGAAGGCCTACGTAGTTTCAAATTTCTGTTTTAAAACTAATCGCCTGGGTAGCGTTTCTCGAAACCGTCATAACTACAAGTTCACCGACATCCCATTGAAACGCGTGTTAAACTTATACACGCGTGTCAATGGGATGTCGGTGAACTTGTACTTATGACGGTTTCGAGAAACGCTGCCCTGGTGCACAGACGGAACAGTTTATGAACATATTTAATTATAGAACGTCATATGCCTCAACGCTAGATCCCAAAATTTCTCTCCATACCCATCCACCCCACCCCCTCCATTTTCTCTCTCTCTCTCTCGCTCCATCTCTTTCGTTTTTGTTTTTGTTGTTATTATGTTGTATTGTCACGACAACGCGTCCCTAAAACAAGAACAGAATGAGGAAGGCTCAGATAGATACCACTCATTATAGAATTATATATAGGTATATATATATATATATATATATATATATACGTCTACCCCCAAAACAAAAATCCGGGAATGGAGGGACCACATTCATGTTCCCAAAATGTCCGGTAAAGGGGTACCGGTACTTTTCATCGATTAAAGGTAATACAAAGTTTTGGGAAATTTCGAAAATTGGGTGGATAGTGATTCTTTACAATTTTGATATATTTGGATGCCCCTGTGGATGTATTAAGGGCACTAAAAACACTTCTGCTTTTGAGAAAACTTGACTATAAAAATTGACCGGTGCTCCCGGTAAATTTTGATAAATTTCAAATAGCGCCTACGGCCGTACGATGGTAGCTGCGACCATGAAAATCACAGAATATGTAGTTGTGTTATATAGTTTCCAAACGGAAATAGCAAATCGGTCGATTTTAATCAAGAAATTGTTTTATAGCTTAATTATTATCTTGACCTTGAGAGGGAGCTATACAACATAAAGAGTTTATTATTGACAATTTCATAACTTTAGACTCGATTTCAACCTCGACAACGATCACTGAATATTGTAGGATCACATAATGCTTCCATACCAAAATTTTGTATTACCTTTAACTTACGTAGACCGAACACACTCAATCTATTTCGGCATGGCCTAAATGAATGGATACTAGATTTTGATGTATACAATTTTGGTGTGAACGGGAAGGGATGGTAACAGTCGTATTCGTAATGTGTTATTGAGAGTTTGGGAGGGGGTTGTAGATATTGCGTTTGTAATGTTATATTTTCGTAATATTTTTTTTTCTTTCTATGTTTCATTATTTCTGGACCTCTAGGAAGAACAGAGCCATTTTGATAATGGCTCTGAATAGAGTATTCCAACCGTTCTTAATTCTTGATTTGTATTCTATTATGTAAATTGTATTCTTGTATGTATTTCAATTTGTATACGGAAAATAAAACCAAACCAGTAACCAACCAACCTACATTATTGGTCGCACCATCGAATGAACGGAAGCTGCCACCTACTGAATCAATATTGGAGCCACGGAGGAAAAGAAAGAGCGCCATCTAAGCATCACGGATGAATAACTCGAAATAGCCAGTATAGCCAGGCTGAAATAATCTTTTCAGAAAGGACAGCCTTATGAACCCAACAACAAAAACAAAAGCTCACATAAATAAAATCTCAAAAGCGATTCATCAAACTATCTATGTCATACCCGCACGCTCAAGAATGACATGAAGAGTCCACCCCGTTAAGTTTCCTCTTTTATATTATCCCTATAGAATTGTTTTTAAAAAAAAACCTATAGGAGACAGAAAGAACTTCACATGTCAACCGTATAGAGCTGTATACTAGCTTGAACGGTATGACATTTCTATAATCTGTCATTGTCAGAGGCATATCTATTACCATCATTTTCACACCTCCCCCCCCCCCCCTATCTCTACTTTTTTGTTTCTCTGTCTCTGTTTGTTTTCCTCTCTCGATCTCCCTCTCATGTTTTCGCTCACTTTTTAATTCTCTATCTCTGTTTCATTAATTTCCCACTCTTCAACATGCTTTTTGTCACCCACTGTCTCTGCTCTCACATTTACCAGTAAAAACATATTATCTATGAAGGGAAAAAAATGCATTTGCTGTTTCTGTCCAACTGATTAACGGACTGCATGGTGCAACAAGGTGGAACATTGCATTGACAGAGAACATCACGCCTCAACGCTGGATCCCGACATCTCTATCCACCCCCTCCTTCTCTCTCTCTCTCTCTCTCTCTCACTCTCTCTCTCACTCCCACTCTCTCTCTCACTCTCTCTCTCTCTCTCTCTCTCGATGTTTTTGCTGTTGTGTTTGCTGTTATGCGTTGGAGGGAGAAGAGGTTACCGTGAACGGTCCATTATAACTGCATCTATATTTTCAATGAAGTTTTTTGTTCGTTCTACATTATTTTGTGATCGACCGATTGATTCGAATGTTTCCCATTTCATATCAATTGTCTGCGCAATAAAGAAAATAGTTGACAAAGTAAGTTCAATATTATGCAATGAAACATGAACCTATTGGAAAGCATAGCTTGTTTGTGTAGGTTCCCAAGTATAAATATAATATCAAAATTGTTTTTCATAAACCATTTCATATTTTTGTATTGTCTTTCTTGACACCGTTCCTACAAAGAACAGATCGAGGAAAGTTCAAATTAAAAAAAATCTCAAAAGCGATTTATCAAAACTATCTTTGTCAAATACCCGCACCCTTAGGTATGACATGAAGCGTCCATCCCGTTTCGTTTCCCCTCTTGATATCATTCCTTTTATAAAACCCAACCTAAATGTATCTAGGTCTAGGAGACCAACAAGAGTCTTTACATGTCAACCGAATAGGCCTACATACTCAAATTGTTACTGTATAATATTGCTACAATCTGTCATTGTCAGAGGTATATCCATTACCATCATTTTCACACCACACGTCTGTTCTTTCTCTCTGTGTGTTTTTTTTTTTTTATCTCCCTCTCTCACCTTAGCTCATTTCTTTTATTCTCTGTCTCATTCTGTTCCTCCCTCTTCAAGCTTTTGTCACCCACTCTCTTTGCTCCTACACTTACCAGTAAAAACATATAAAAGAAGAATGCATTTTCTGTTTCTGCCAAACTAATCGACTGGTGCAACAAGGTGAAACAATATACATAGACATAGAGCATCATGCCTCAACGCTGGATCCCGACATCTCGCCGAGACCCTGGTTACATACATGATCGACGGTCGACATGAACTTGATTCTCCTCGTCACGAAGGGACCAACGGTCATCAAGCTCATGATCACCATCCCCAAACAACTGGAGGAGTTAGTCATCACGGCCATGAAGGTATATCAGCTCATCCTCTGGCAGGGCATGGATGTCCTGCAGGAGGAGGGCCGCATCCTGGAGTGGTAGGTCACGTCTCGCCCCACCATGACCCTCATCCGATTCGGGAAGGTGAGATGAGTATGTTCCAGCATCGGGTCATCCCTGATCACCTTCACCCAGCGAGGGTACATCCGCATCATGACATGACAGTCCATGCTCCTCCCCCTCCTCCTCCTCCTCCTCCACATCACTATCAGCAACATCACTCACAGGCGGCATCTCATCCCCATGGCAATATTGCTCATAATCCATGCCATTATCAAACCCTAAGCGCCCACCCTCGTCCATCGTCTCACCATGAACCTGGTCATCCTGCGCCCCACCACGCCCATGTCCCACATCACGATGCACCACTGGATCACCACCCTGCGCCCCACCACGCCCATCATGGAGGTGCGCACGGGCACCCAGCGGTAGAACATGAGGGAGGGGCAGCCAGCTATCGGCACCATCCGACCGGTATGCACCCTACACATCATCTGGTTCACCACCCTTACCATCATTACTACCCTCCTCATCACCACCAGGGGGCTTATGGAATTCACCTTCCTTCCTCGCATGAGCATGATCCCAGTCTAAGCCATCCAAGCCTCATCAACCATCATTACCATCCCTTCTACACCTCCCATGGCATACTAAATCCAGACTTGGCGTATGCTCCTATTAATTTACCTCCCCACCACCATGGTTACGCTCGTCATTATCCCCACCATGACCTGCATCCCTGGAGGTCTGAGAGAGACGACCATTGGGATTCCCGTATGGGTCAGCGACACTTCCACCACCCTCATCACCGGTATGTCTACCCGATGGATCCCATGGAAGAGATCTCCCATCATCACATCCACTCTCATCGCCATCACTTCACCAAGGAAGGAGGCAACTTCCATGAGATGCTCACCGGGAGCCATTCTCCTTTCCATGGTGACTTGGATAGAGGCCACACCCATCATCATCCGCATCCTAGCTACCACCGACATCATCATGGATTGCATCACCAGGGTGCTTTCCATGACCACCATCATCATCAGCCCCACCACAATGTATCCCAGATCGACCATGTCGATTACGATTCACCGGATGGCGCAGCAGCATCTCATCATCGTCACGATCATCCTCAGCATCACATCGATGAGCATCACTGCGGGGAGGTCAGCATCGGTACCGACGCAACAAAATTCCACGTCACCATTCCTCTCAAGCCGGGCTTCAAGCCAGACGATGTCGTCATCAATGTGCAACTGCACGGCATCAAGGATCTCCACGTTGAGTTCCGACATGACCACCGTGATCCTAGGGTCCAAACTAGCCGCATTCTCCGCCACGTCATAACCCTACCAGACCATATCGACATCGACAGCTTGAGATCGACGTTGAACCAGCATGGAACCCTCATCATTGACGGACTCATCAAGGCGGGCACGAATACAACGTGTCATAATATTGAGGTAGAGGTCATCGAGCACCAAGAAGGATGTGCTGTCGATGACGA